AAAGTATCAACTCATTCTGCATAACATTTATGATTGTTTTAAATACTGTTTTTCCGAATATTAAATATTATGTGAATTGCTTATTTTAAGTTTTAATACTTAAAAATTAGGGTATTAACCAACTTATCTCATTGATTAAAGGAATTAATGTTGTTCTTAGAGATCATGGGTTCAAATACCAACAACTGCAAGAGTGATTAAACGTACATTGTCAAATGATTTAGAATAATTAAAACATATACTACTTTGTAATCACCTTAGCTTAATAAAAAAAACTTAAAAATTAGAGTTAATTACATCATGTATCTAAATTATAGCCTTCATTTTAAATTGGTCCTCAAACTTTTAAAGATGCCAATTTCACCCTCAAATTATGACTCTCATTCTAAATTAATCCTTAAACTTTTGAATATTCTAATTGCATCCCTAAATTATGACCTTACTTTTAAATAGGTCCCCAAACTTTTAAATATTTCAATTTCATCTCCAAATTCATGCAAATAAGTAATTAATTTCAATCATAATTTATTCTAATTTTTTTAACATATAATAATATATCTTGGCCTAACGATTTTATTAATAAGAGATGTGATTAGCATATATGTATAGTTTGAGATAGAATTGGAATGTACAAAAAGTTTAAGGACCAATTTAGAATGAATGTCATAGTTTGGGGATGAAATTGAAATTTTCAAAAGTTTGAGGACTAATTTAGAATGATAGTAATATTTTAGGGATGAAATTGAAATATTTAAAATTTTAGGGTCTAATTTAAAATAAGTATCATACTTTGAGGACATATGGTACAATTATCTCTAAAAAATATAATAATGAACTCATTGAGCAATCTTATGGTTAAATGGAGTATTGTTTTGTCTTAAGATTATGAAGAGTTGCATTTGCAGGGTGTGTTGTCAATAACTCAGAAAAATCTTGAACATATATTACTTTATAATCACTTAGACTATTCAAAAGAATTATAATAATGATTTCAATGGAAAATGTAACATGTATAAATAAATATTTTTTATTAAGTAGAGAGGAATTACTATATCAAGTAAATATCAAGATTCGAATCACAAAAGATAAGATAATATAAATATCTTTAACCATTCGATCAATCAATAGATGTCAACCTCTATAAATATTTTGATTTACTGTTTTTATACATTTTTAAGTTTTTTTTTACTCCAACTCCCTAAATTATTATATTAATACAAGGAGATTACTATGGCTCTTTTACTTGGTAATATCATTTAAAGGATTATTTTATTAAGGACTAGTTTGGTATAATTTGTGAAAAAGTGATTTTTAAAAATGTTGTAGAATCGAACTTTTAAAAGTGTTGTATAAAAGTACAGTTTAAAATTTAATTGTTTGGGATTGCTGTTAAAAAGTGACTTTGAAAAGATAAAATGTCCAATGTAGCCATTAAATTCTAAATTAAAAATTAAAAATATATAATTATAATAAAATTATATTTTTATAATGACTCGCTAGTAATATTTTAATATATAAACCATGAATTTTATTTATTTTAAAGTAATTAAAAAAATTTATTAAGTAATAAAATTATTTTTTAAGGGTGTTAGTATTAAATTACTAAAATAAAATGTAAATACATAATTGAGTGGAGTCCATGCATTAGTAAGGGTAAAAATATAATTTGCTTTCAAATACAAAGTTGAAAATGAAAAAGCTAGAAATCCTAGTTTTTGTTATTGGTTTGAAACCATCGTTATCATCTTCTTCTTCTTCTTCTTTCATTTTTTACCCATTTGACATTGAATTTTCAATCAAAAAGGGCTTTTTTTTAACTAAAAATGCTTTTAGAAAGCATTATCAAACAAACCCTAAATATTATGTGAAATGATTTTTTAAGTTTTAATACTTAAAAATTATAACAATGAACCCACGGAATGATCTTATGGTTAAAGAGAGTATTGTTCTGTCTTAAAATTTGCAAGGTGTGTTTTATCAATAACTAAGAAAAAAACTTGAACAGATACTACCTTATAATAACCACATACTATGCAAAAAAAATATAATAATGATTTCAATGCAAAATATAACATGTATAAATATTTTTTGTTAAGTAGAGAGGAATTACTATATCAAGTAAATATCAAGATTCGAAACACATATGGTAAGATAATATGAGCATCTTTAATCTCTCGATCAATTAATAGATCTCAACATGTATAAATATTTTTAATTTAATGTTTTTATACATTTTTAAGTTTTTTTTCCTCCAAATCCCTAACTAATCATGTTGATGCAAGGAGATTACTATGGCTCTTTTACTTAATAATATCATTTAAAGGATTATTTATTAAAGGTAATAAGGATGCATAAATTTAGAGAGTTAAACTCTTATTGTAAAATGATTGAAGATTTGAACAATAAAACAAAATAATTCTCAAACGATTTAAAAAACACAAAATTAAAAGAAATAAATTAAAAATAAATAAATTAGATATGATGAAATTTCTGATTAAGAACGTACATTTGGATGGATGAAACATCTAATCAGCTAAAGATGTTTCATCCTGATAACATAGCTGAAAGCTTTGAATTAGGATAGCTGAATGTCTAATTCTCTTAGGATAATAAATTCTTAACAAACTAGATGATTGAGAAGAACACCTCAACATGTCACAATGTAATTAGATCTTCGTATTCTAAAACAATAGCAAGATAAAAATCTTGAACGAAGGAAGAAAATTTTGTGTATTGATGATCGAATTGATTTTCGATCAACATTATATAAGAAAAATATCTATTTATAGACTTCAAAAATCCTAAAAATAGAAAAATATAATATCTCTTATATTATTGTGCTAGATTTTTTTTTAGAGAAAACAACGTCATTACCTGAAACAGTAATTTTGTTTGAACACAAAACAAATTTAATTTTAACTGAAAATTAAATTTTGAAATAAAATAGATAATAAATCTAAATTATCTAAAATAAATAATAGAAAATCTTAGGCACATGTGTACTATATATGATTTGCTTTCGCTTGCTTAGCCCCATGTGTAGTGGTCGAAAACCAGATTTGTTTAGGTCGAGGAAAGAAAATGAGAAATTGGAGAGGAAGAACAAGAAAGGTCAAAAGAGATGAAATGTGAGAAAAACAGAAAAATATTTTTATAAAAATCCAAACCACGTAGTTTTAATCTAATTTTATTTTTTTAGGATCTAAAATAATATTTTTTAGGTGTAGGTTGTCGTGTCATAATGTCACTAACTATTTAACGGTCGAGTAACCAATACTAGAGCAATTTGAAAATTAAGTGATTGAAAAATATTTAAAAAATGGTTAATATATATATTAGTAATAATTCAATTTTTTTTAATTTTTTATAACTTTTTCTTCTTTAAATTACAAGCAAAACAAATAAATTTTATTTTCTAATAGAAATAATCAATATATATATATATATATATATATTATGTTAATAATAATTCAATTCTTTTCGTCCTCAGTCCTCCCCCTCCTCTTTATTTTCAGTATTTTTTATTTTATCTCTTTAAACTACAAGCAAAAACAAATAGTGTTAATTGACTAACAGAAATTCTCAAATAAATATATATATATATATATTATTCTTATATTTCTGTTTCTTTTTTATTAATTTATAATCAAATAGAAAATAAATAAATAAATAAAATAAACTCTTGAATCCTAATTGTTTCGAATTCCTTGTGAATTAAATTTTGAATTCTATTTCAAACTTTTTATTATTGTTTTATTTTCAAATAAAACAATTGTTTGGTGACCAAAACGTTAGCTTCTAAAAGTTAGATGGTTAAAAGGTTAATTTTGAATATGTACAAGTCTTGAGTGTTCTAGAATAATCTACACTATTCTATCAACCTCCAAGACCAAATGTGGCCCAACATAGCCAAAATAGCCCAAAGTGTGGGGAAAGGGCCCAATTTCGTGACATAATGCTCTAAAAGATAAGCGATTAAATTGAAAGGACTGTTTCTATGGATGACCAAAATTATAGCCACTTAAAAAGTTGAGCGATAATTGAGGTACTTTACTCTAGTATTATTCAGGGCATATTACAAATATAGTAACTAAATTATTATTTTTATTTCGTTTTAGTACTTAAGCGTTATTTTTTTAAAATCTTACATAATATTTAATTTATGATTCATTTTAGTACACCAATAAAATTAACAGAACCGTTGACATGATATTTTTTTCAATGATTACATGACATTATCTTATGATGACATGTCAACAAGAACGTTAAATTTTTAACGGTGGGATACCAAATGAAACATAAACCAAGCATTAGGTATGATTTTGAAAAAAAAAACTTAAGTATTCACCTTTAAAAATTAACAGAACTGCTGACATGATATTTTTTATTTTTTCAATGACAATGTGACATTACTTTATGATGACACCTCAACAACATCATTAAATTTTTAATGGTGGGATATCAAAATAAAATCTACATTAAATGTTAGATATAATTTTAAAAAGGAGTATATTGTGTGATTAGTCCCTTTTGTGTCGGGTATGTCCGACTTTGGTCACTAATTTAAAAATTAAGGGTAAATGGTCCATAACATTATCGGTTTGTTTGGTTTAAGTCCCTCCGCCGTTAATCCTTAACGAATATATGATATAGATGAGAGACTAAAATCGAACTAGAGTTAACATCTGAGGGACTAAAATCAAATGAATTGATAATATTAGGGACTAAAATTGAACATATCAATAACGTTATGGACCATGTACCATTAATTTTTAAATTAATGATCAAAATCAGTCATACAAAAAATAAAGGGGACTATTCACACAGTTTACCTTTAAAAATATAATTTACATATGAAAATAAAATAAAAATAATAATTTAGATATTAAACGTGTAGTTGCCTTATTAATTAAAACCCGTAATGTAGACTAAAGTTCCATGATAACGGTTGAGTGAAAGAAAACGGTGTGTTGCGTGTTGGTGGGGCTAGCGGTTTGGTGCTGTAGTAGCCGGTGATGGTAGAATTAAGTGAGAAATGGGAATCACTATCTCTTTATAAATACGCACACTCTCTTTGTTCAAACCCAAAAGATATTCCCTTCAACCGTCGCCTTTTGTTCCTTCCTCTCCCAGATTTTCTCTCTTTTATTCCCTCACTTGTATGGCAGCCAATTTCAAGCGTGGTGGAGGGATCGCCAGCTTGGGGAAGCGCCTTCTTAACCGCACCTCCACTCTCTCGGCCACGCCCTCTCCTCCACCTGCTGCTGCTGTCAGGTTCCTTCTTGCTTTCTCCCCCCCCCCGATTTTTAGTTGATGTGATTTTTCATGCTGAATTTTGTAACAGTAATTATGTTTTAGGATTGATTTCTACTGAAAATTTGAAGATTTCTATGTTGAAGAATGAATCTCATTAGGATTTAGATCATATCGTGTGAATGATGAGATTATTTTCCTCGTTTTCGTGATATAAACATCAGTTATAATCGGAGGAATTTCTTGATGAAGATACTTAATTTTTATTTTTTTTCCTCTTCTAGTTTTCAACTGGAATTTATTAAATTAAACATATGTTTTTTAATTATATGAAAAAGGAAATAAAATAAAAGAGGGAATCGTTTGTTGGTATAATGGATAAATCTGGGAGAGTGGAACTGCGGTGTGGGGAAGGCTGGGCGGATAAGGACGCACCTTCCCTCCCCTCTCCTATTGGACACCTGTCTCCCAAATATCGTTTTCTACGCTAATTCTTCTTTAATTTAAATAGGTAAATTACATGTTTAGTACCTAAACTATTATTTTAAATATGTTTTAGTACTTAAAATTTTTAATTTTTTCAAAAACATACTTAAAATTTAGATTTTGTTTCATTTTAGTATATGTAAAAAATTTAACGTTAAATTTAATTTTTGTTTGAAAATTTAGGTACTAAAATGGATTAAAATTAATAGTTGAAGTATACGCTAGTATTAAAATAAAATAAAAATTAAATGTTAGTTATGATTTTAAAAAATTAAAAATTTAGGTACTAAAACGATTTAGATATTAAACACATAATTATTCATTTAAATACTAATATATAATTTTTAATTTAAATTATCTAAAACAAAAAATAATTAATAATTATAAACATTTCAAATGATTTTAATGATAAAAAGAATAATATTTTTCAAATATCAAATTCAGGCAATACAAAGTGTATATATATATTATCAATAATTGAGAAAATGTAAATAAATAATATCTTATAATCATTTTATATTATTTGAAAAAAAATTATGATTTTGACATGATACTTAAAAATAGTTTGTTACCGTTAATAAGTTGGTCTATTAAAATGATATACTATATTTCTTACACAAGTTTATACGCTAACGTTTATAAATGAAACAAATTAGGTTGAAATAATTTTTCTTATAATGGATCTTTATAAAATTTAATTTAGATTAATCAGTCAAGTAATTAATTAAAAATAGCTTACTAGTATATTAATTCAATTAATTAATGTGTACAACTAAGGGTCTAATATCATTAACATCGACTCTTTGAGAGTTGGCGTGCAAATTACGTTAGATAGCTCTTTTATGAGATTAGAAAGTGGACCCAATTTGGAAAATATAGAAATGGCCATATAACCGATCATTGTATATTTTATTTATATTATTACTTGCTGTGTCAGGTTTTTGAAAGTTGAGCAGATAGGGATTTATATTTTAGATCTTATGTAATTATAATTTATGAATATTAATATATTTAATGATTTATGGTATAATTATTGAAATCAACTTTAGATCTCATCATTTATAAAAAAATTAATAAAACAAACTTAAAATTAAATCATCACGTGATTTCAGTGATTAAAGAAAATATTTTTTATTTTTAAAAGTTTTGAGTTCGAGTAGTTATACATAATGGACATATGTGATTAATTGAAATTATTTTGAGTAAATCATGTATTTAGTACATAAATTATCAATTTTGATTTGTTTTAATATTTAAATTTTTAATTTTTTAAAATCAGATCTAGAATTTAATTTTTGTTTTATTTTAATATCTCGTCGTTAAAACCTTAATGCGTTTAATATCTAAACTATCAGTTTTGATCCGTTTTAGTATTTAAATTTTTATTTTTTTTAAATTTAAGTATGATTTAAGCACTTAACGTGTTTTGATACCTATATTTTATTTTATTTTTTAAACTTTAATGGCGAGATACTAATATGAAATAAAAATTAAATTTTAAATATAATTTTGAAAAAATTAAAAGTATATGTGCTAAAAACAGATTAAAATTGATAATTTAGATATTAAATGTGTAATTAACCCATTTTTTATTGTTGATGCTGATCACGTGTTTTAACAGTCCATTTGTTTTGCAGAAGATCTTGACCCACACTTCTGATGCTTTTCTACCTACCCTTCTTCACTCACTACCTAAGATTTGTACACGAGCCCCTTGCTCGCTTATCTACTACTATAATAATTTCCTCACCTTGTAACTAACAACTCTTTTTTTAAACCTTTTAATTAAATTAAAGGAGTAATTAATTGATGCTTATAGTCAATTAGGCACATGAAGATTTCAATTTTTGTCTGGTGATGAGGGATTTTGATCTTTTCTTAGTTTAATATTCATTCATTTAAATGTCACAAAGCAATGTTTGGAATTTCGAAAAGGAATCTTGATCTTAATTATTGTATATGCAGGTGTGCTCACTCATCGGCATATGACAAGAACCTGGATGATCAGGTCCATGCAACTGTGGTTCCTGATGATGTGATCCAGCCTCAATCGGACAAGTACTGGGCTCCGAACCCTCAGACCGGGGTGTTTGGCCCCGCTGCCGAGCAGCTTAACGCATCTGTGGGTGGGGAGCAAGGCATCAATTCCGGTGGCGAGAACTCTGTCCTCGAGGAAAAGGCCTGGTTCCGTCCTACGAGTATCGAGGACCTGGAGAAGCCACACCATCACTGATTATGAGCCTACTATTATATTGTCTATATAGATAAACAAAGACTTTGGTTGGATCAAATAAGGAAAACGTTTCCCTGGTATTAGGTGGTAGAACTATATAGTTGTTTGCATGGTAATTTGTTACTGTGAACTGTGTAACACACCAGCTTATGGTAGTGATGCTCGCGTGCTATATGACTATAAAATTGTTGGGTCATTTTGTGATTGCAATCATTTCTATGGTTTTGCTGAATTTGGGATGATAAAAATATTCGACGATCTGATCCATCGATCTGAATTTTAAAAAATTGGATGTTTTCTTTAAAAAATTAGGCGATCGGGTGGGGTACCCAATTAACGGGTGGGAAGTAATGTTTAGGAGCATGTGAAAATCGTGACTTAAAAAAGAGTGGTTCCTAATTCAGGTGGTCCTATGGGGCATCGTCGGTGAAAAAAGATGATTTATAAAATTCTAAGGATAATGTACTTATAAAATTTTAGAGTGAAAAAATAGATTTTTAATAGAAATATAAAAAAGTAATCTAAGATATATAATAATTTGAATTTTGTAGGAGCAATTGTCTTCACCTATTTTCTCCTCGATCCATTCTGTAACAGTTGTTTTCATTTTATGATTTGTTATCAAACAACGGAGGTATCCATGACTAAAGTGTTGAATCAAACATCAAGTTCTATTGTTTTTTTTAGGCAAATAGTATCAAGTTTATATCATCATGGGTTTAAAAAAATAAAATGGCTGCAGAGTGTTCAGGTTTACTTTTTTACCTCTTATTACGATATGCCCATTCTCAATTATCTTTATATTCGTTAAATTTTCAATATAAATTCGCATATTATTTAAATACAAAATCAAATGAAGAAAAAGCATGACATGTGATGCATGTAAGATTGGATCACAGTCATCTAAAAAGAATTCCACTTTGAGGTCTTTTAAATATAATTGAAAATTTGATTTGATTGGTACAAATGACGCCCACATATGATGCATAAGTAATGTTAGACCAATATTCTGAAAAAAAAATAATAATAACAAATGACGTTAAACCATAGCCATCTAAAAGGAATTCCACTTTGAGGTCACATGTATGGATATGGTAAAAAATATGATTATTTGGTTAATACAAATAAAAGATACAAGTGTTTGCTTGAAATTGGGAGTCAAACCTTTCTAGATAAGGGACACTATTCAGCCAATGTAATTAGGGATATATATGAGATCTGAACTCGATAGGTTTCAAATCGATTTTATTGAGTTAGATTTTTTTTTTAAAAAAAAGAATCGGGTTCGGATTGGATCCGATCGAGTCAGATTCTGATTAGGGTGAAAAATATCTAATCTGACACGACAAAAAAATATAATTTTTCTTTATATATTTAAGGATAATTGCAATAACATTTCTTTCTTTATATATATATATATATATATTAATTTTTTCCAATTAAATCTATATTTTTTGTTAAATAAAATTAATATTTTTTATAAATATTTTATTTTAGGTCATGTTCGAGTTTTATCTCAAAATGCATGTCGGATTCGAGTCAAATGAATAGTATATAATTTTTGGATTGAATTCGGATCAAATGTAATGTGTATAATATTTAGGTCGGATTAGATTAACTGAAAATCTAACCTAACAGGATCCATGCTCCTCCCTAATTATAACGTTGGCTTCATAATTAAAAAAGAGACTTTTTAGATTAGGGTTTTATATTTTGCGGGTGACAGATAAAAGTATATTGGGTCTTATATTTATGTAAATTATCTGAATTGTGTGTACATTTTTAAGCCATCAAGTCAGGGATACTGACATACAGTGAGTTCATACTACCTAATGAGTCATTTTGTCTACAAGATTGTCGGGTCGGATCAGTATACCAAATCTTATTTTAAGTTAGGTAAACTACACGTTTAATAGCTTAATTATTTCATTCGTTTTATTTTTTTATTTTAAAATTATATCTAATTTTATTTTAGTCATTCATCATTAAAAATTGATAGTAAAATTGATGTGACACTATAATATAATATCATGTCATAATTAAATAGTTTTTTTGGTCATCCACCATTAAAAAAATAACGGTAAGATTGATATGTCACCATAAAATAATATCATGTCATCATTAATTTTTTTTTTGAAATATCATACTAGCAGTTTTGTTAATTTTTTAATGACAGAAGACTAAAATAAAACCAAAATATAATATTAGATATGATTTTGAAGAAAATAATGTTTGGTGACCAAAACATAAGAAATGTGATAGACGAGGTACTAAATATGTAGTTTACATTCTAAGCTAATGGTTGATGTCCAATGATGGATGGGTTGATTTTACGAAAAGTTTTCTTCTTTGTGGTCTAGCTGACAGTCTTATAATTAAGGAAACATGTATGGTTGCTATCAGCCTAAAAATAGTGTAGTTCAGCTGCACTACAGTTTAATTTGAGGTTAAAAATGATGATTTTAGGGTGTAATAAAAGATGTGATAAAAATTATAATATTTTATATTAAGTATAATCTAAAATTTTATAAAAAATATAATATTTTTAATTTAACTGAAAATATTAAAAATATATTAAATTACATTCAATCTAAAATATTATCATTTTTTATTAAATTTTAAATTACGTACTAAATCATTAATTTTAACCTTAAATTAGACTCGCTATTTTCAATTTCAAAAAAATATGAATATGCTTATTAACTGCTACTGCTTTGTGTCCATTTTCTATGTAATGAAAAAGTAGCAAGAAAATAAAACCCTAAAAAATAGTAATTGTAACCTAAACGCTGGCCCCTCGTGCTTTAAAACTGTTTCCCCTTTATTACATGGATGCTGAAGAAGTAAAACAACTACATTTTACAGTTAAAATTCCAAACCAAGAAGTTGGAAAATGATTTGTCTTCTATCTATAAACTTTTTATTATTTTGTGTGTATAATTTTGAAATTTTCAATTCATCAATGATAATTATTTAAAGTAAATATTTAAAATTCTTTGACAATATTTACTTATCATAACTTTAAAACCCAAATTTTCCCACCAATATATATATATATATATATATATTTCTTTTGAACTAATTACTAGTATCTGATATATTAATCGATTAATTCATATTATATATGTATATATATATATATATATATATGTATTTTTTTAATCTCAAAAGAATAGGCCAAACACTGTCAGGTTGTCTGTCGATAATCATATTGGATGAAACATTCTTGCTATATTTCGGAGATAGCTTTCGGAAACTATCAATCCTCCTTAAATCGAGACTTTTGAAGAGATTAGAAAACAATGCATGCACCTCCACCTTGTGGTCTAACATCACTTCCACATATTTATTCAGTTTATCCTTAAAGGGCTTATCTACGTTAAACTTGAAAAAAATGTTTAATGCAAAAATAAGTATTCAAATTATACTTCAAATTATACACAAAGTTAACTTTAGGTGTCTAAATAAGTTTTTTTTTTTGTTAAAAATAGGTGTCTAATGTTTTCAACAGTAGAAACTATGTTTTCAAAATTGGTATCAATTTTGGGTGTTGTAGGGTGCTAATCATTCCCCGCGCATAATTGAATCTCAAATATGATTTATGATTTCGCATGCCAAAACATGGTATTTTTTATAAAAAAAAATTGTTTTATTAAAATTATCTGATATTAGGTGTTCCAATCTCACCTTAAAAATGATTGGTGGAGACTCCCATATTTTCATAAAAACCCTTTTATTTTCAAAATTTATTTTATTTTTTCAAAACATCAGATCGGTTACAACAGTTATCAAAACATAATCAAAACGTAAGGTTAGATATGATTTTGACAAAATAATGGTTGAGTGACAAAAAAAATTAAATAATAGGTGTGTGACCAAATAGTTAGTTTATATTCCTAAATAAAAAATATGTATGAATTATGTTAAGAAAATTATATTAGTCCAGATAAAATATTTTTCTAGATTTAATTCAAATATATATAAATATAATTATATTTTTAAATTAAAAAATATATGAATTATTTTAAATAAGTTTTTTATTATACTTATATTAGTCCAACCTATAAAATTTTGTTAGATTCGACGCTCGACATAGCATTCCACCGAAGTCCCCACCAATTGAACATCTTAGCCCAAAAACAATTAATGAATCTACACTCAACAAAAAGATTATCCATACAATTATTGTCATAAATTCATACAATTCTATCTTCCACCTTTTGAGATAAGATCACGTTAAGAACCATGGGAATCAATTTGTTAAGGGTCAAAATTTCCCTACGCGTTATTAATCTTTAGAGTAAGTGGTTAAAAGTTTGTAGTTGACACATTCCCTTTTCTCTAAGTTATGAGTTTAATAATTATTAGGAACAAATTTCCCATTCCTCTGTTCAAAAAGATCTCTCGTTTGTTAAGTTTTTAACGGCTATACTAAAATGAAATAAAAACTAAACGTTAGGCGTATTTTTAAAAAATGATAGTTTAAGTACTAAAATGAATCAAAACTGGTAGTTTAAATACTAAACACGTAATTTACTCATAAGTTTATCCAAACCACATCCTTGAACACACCATTGTGTGCCACATCAATGACTACAATTCTTTTAACCTTTGCTAGCCGTTAGAGCCTAAAAAATAAACACCCATCATTAGGATTGTTCAAATAGTTATTTCGTTCACCGATCAAACTGAATTTTTATTAATTTTCTCTAACCATTAATCAAACATAACTTTTTTTAAAAACGTTAATCAAACCGAACAAAGTTCGGTTATTTCAGCTGATTAACCGAATTAACCGAATTTTTTTATAATTTTTTAATTAGATTAATTTGAATATAATAGAAGTATTTTTTATTTGGGTTAAATTTTTAATTAGATATTGATAATTTAATGAGTTTAGTGCGGTTAAAAAATAATTAAGTCTTAATTCTTAATGAGTTTGAGCTTAAAATATGTATTTAATATATATAATATATTTCATATTTAATAATTTCTGTTAATTCAGTTAATTAATCGATTTCGAACCGAATTAATTGTTAACT